CTTCACATTAAAGAGCGGATTTACCGCTCGTCCCTTCAACATTACCGAGAGGGATTTACCTCTCGGCCTCGATTTATTAACCGAGCGGATTACCGCTCGTTCCTTCAACATGACCGAGAGGGATTTACCTCTCGGCCTTCGACTTTAAACCGAGCGGGATTTACCGCTCGTCCTTAGACTTAAGCGAGAGGAATTTACCGCTCGTTCTTCAAACATGAACCGAGGGGATTTACCTCTCGGCCTTCGATATTAACCGAGCGGGATTTAACCACTCGTCCTTCAACATGAACCGAGAGGGATTTACCTCTCGGCCTTGACTTTAACCGAGCGGGATTTACCGCTCGTCCTTCAACATGAACCGAGAGGGATTTACCTCTCGGCCTTCGACTTTAACCGAGCGGGCTTTACCGCTCGTCCTTAGACATTAGCGAGGAATTTACCGCTCGTTCTTCAACATGTACGGAGGGGTTTACCTCTCTCCGAGGGGGATTTATCGCTCGGCTTTCGACTAAGGAGTGCTTCTAGGGAACGGGCTTTACCGTTCGCTCGATCTCGACCTCCTCAGGAGTGCTTCCTAGGGAACGGGCTTTACCGTTCGGCTCTTGAGAGGGTTTTTACCTCTGTTTTGATTTTGAGCTAGGATTGTTTCCTAGTGAACGGGATTTACCGTTCGTCTTTGAGAGGGCTTTACCTCTCTCCCGAGGGGGATTTACCGCTCGGTCTTCGACCTAGGAGTGCTTCCTAGGGAACGGGCTTTACCGTTCGGCTTTGAGAGGGTTTTACCTCTGTTTTGAGCTAGGATTGTTTCCTAGTGAACGGGATTTACCGTTCGTCTTTGAGAGGGCTTTACCTCTCTCCCGAGGGGGATTTACCGCTCGGTCTTCGACCTAGGAGTGCTTCCTAGGGAACGGGCTTTACCGTTCGGCTTTGAGAGGGTTTTACCTCTGCTTTGATCTAGGAGTGTTTCCTAGTGAACGGGATTTACCGTTCGTCTTTGAGAGGGCTTTACCTCTCTCCCGAGAGGGATTTACCGCTCGGTCCCTGACTTGATCGTTAATTATGAACTTTGCTGACGAAATTGGCAATCAGTGTTTGTAATAGGAGACTTCCCCTTCGTTAATTGAATTCCATGAAGTCCGTTTATGACTAGATCTTAGTATGCACTTGCATAATTGATGGCGTGGATTTTGATATATATTTCTTCAAGATGTTCATTGCTGAAATTCTCATGATGATATATATTATGGTATATGACCGTATAATAAATGATTCGGTTACCAGATATTATGAATTGCACCGAATAAATCACATAGATAATAAACAAGGTATCAAAACCGTCTTGAGATTTTATAATATTGCTATTGATACTTATCTCTCACACAACAATTTCTTTGACTATTTTAATCATGCTAGAAAATATTTCGGTTATAATAATTAGATAACTATATTTATAGTTATATGCTATATTATATATAATATATCATATATCATATAATATATTATGGATTATACTATATATTTAACATAAAAATAGTTGTTGTAATATCTATTATCAATTAGATATTTTATGAAATATTCATATTTCAAAAAATACTTATCTTGTTGACGACGTCTCACGTAGAGATGATGATTCACGTAGAGTGCTTCATAGGGAACGGGCTTTACCGTTCAGCTTGTTGTTCCTCCATGCTCCTCGTGGTCACCGTTGGGTTTGCCGCTCGGCCCCACGGTGGGCGCCAAAAATGTTTCGGTGGAAAGTTTTGGGACCGAGAAACTAACCTGTTGATGTGTCGGGGCTGCTCGCTCGCCTCCAAACTCCAGCTGCTGGTCGATCGGTGTTGGCGCAAGCCGATCGGTCTCCTTTTGGACGGGGGTGGATGTACCTGCAAAAGGTACTCCGACGCCCAAGTTAGGCGTGTGATTTGAAGAGCCTCGGCTCTTGGTTGAATATTTAGTGAATGATTATCACTATTGAGTATTTGAGAGTCATGTAGAGTAAGTGGAACGTACCTGGCTTTTGGCCCTGGCTTTGTATTTATAATTTATCTCATGGATCCTGAGCTGATATAAGCCCAATAAAATATAAACAGAATAAGATATAAACAGATTACCTGAATATCCGGTTGGTTGTTTGTAACCACTCGGTTAATATTTTATACTATACAATAATTATTCAAAATTTATTTTATAAATATATCTTTCTAAAATATTAATTTTATGTTAATTTTTTTTATACAGCAGAATCACCTTAATATAAAGAGTAAAATACTTACGTCTAATCACAAGTTTTGAGTATCTTTCTTTGGCCTTCTTTTTTTGAGCTAGCTTTTGAATTTTGATGCATGCCTTTGTATGTGGATTAACATGAATTTTTATTACTAAGAAAACATGAAGATATATTTATATTATTCATTAACGTCATACATGTTTAGTTTTTTTTAATAGTAATGAAGGTGGGAGCTTAAACTTAAATAAAAATGTCTTAACAGGTAAAAAGATTAGTTTTTCTTATGATGGTATCTTAGAATAAAAGATATACACTACCTAGATGTAACTTGATCTCAATAATATATATATATATATATATATATATATATTATATTGTATTATGTAAGGATGAAATTTATTGTGAATTTAAGACTTAACTCTGACTCATTCGAATTAATTATTCACTTTAACATGGGAATACTTTTGACAGGTACTCCCGATCAGTTTGGAGCGTGGACGAAAGAGAACTTGGACTAAGGACGAGTTCAGTTATCCGTCCGGCTAAGAAGTAAAAGTGTGAAGGTGTGTGTGAAGTTACTTGACCCTATACCCGAAACAAGTTTAAATGTATTTGAGATGTATTTGTTTAATTATAAAAGGAGTTTTAATGTAGACAAGTTTTGAATGAGAATAGCTCATTTTTTTGTTTAGTTATTCTGGAATGATTTATGAGCTCAATCAGGGTGCAAATTATATTTTAGCGAAGTATAGTAATGTTGGCCATTTTAAGTTTGTATAAAATTTTAAAATTATTAAATTCGTTTTGAGTAAAGTTTTAAAAACAAATTTGATTTTGGTGGTATGAAATTATTTTTGTACTATCTTTCCATCTTTATTATTTCTAAGTCCGTCTAAATACGTTTTTGCATAATATTTGATAATTTTTATCCAATCCAATAGACCTTTTAAGTTTTCTATTACGGAGTAGTCCAAACCTATATCTATTTGGATCACATTTACATATTATAACTAAATTTCGGTAATATGGTATCTTAATATTTATTTATTCTTATATTATTATTTATCCTTATGTTATTATATTTCTAAGGTATTAGAAACATATGTAATTGGTCCTATAAATATAACTAACATTCCTTCTAATCCAAGTGGAGCACCAAAGAATTTCATTCTCAACTACAAGCGCTCTCAAAACTACTCTTAGATCTCATCACCTGTTCACAAATCATATTAGAACAATAGTGATATGGAGATTGCTAATTTAATTAAAGTGTTTAATTACTCTAAAGTTTTGGGGATTACTTATTTAATTAATTCATTGATTTGATTTTGTGCATAATCTAACACTATATACTTGTAAGTATTTAACCTTAAATTTTTGAAGCGGTTGTCGGAATCAAATAAATAGCTGGCAGCATTTCAGATCATTTTTTTCTTGTCAATTTTGACAGTGGTGAGACAGTTATAGCTGCATTATGTTACCTCACTGCAGAACCGAATGTGGCAAATTAAGTACCATATTAGTAAAAAAATGAAAAAGAACACAAATCAATGTGTTAGGTTCAGCAGGAGTCTGTGCTTGAAAATATTAAATTGAGTCAAAATTTCCAGATTGAAAATTTCGGGAATCTGATGACTACTGTTATTGCTATGTAGTTGTCATGTGCCTGTGAATCCATACACGACACCTCCAATAAATAAATTAACCAATTCAATAATAAGGGTGTTATTAAATCACAGAATATAGTTTGCAGAGTTTGTGATTGTCACCAAATTATTGGCAGGATCGGTTTGTAAGTTGTGCAAGTGATGCATATTTTTTCAGAGTGAAAACTTGTGAAACCTATATCTATATCTATATCAGAGGCAGAAAGGAGAAAAAGATGCTTTAGCACCGAATCAGGAAGCAGAATGAAGCTTTTTTTTTGTTAATGCCGTAATCATAAATTGATTGACCAAATCACCCACTTGCCAATAAACTATCTCTCTCCCTCTCACACTAATTTTGAAAACTAAACAACAGGGTGAGAGTGGAAATATTGTTTAAGGATTACACTGTCTTCTTCTGCATAGTATCATTGTATTTGTAACCAATTTGAAAACAGTGTTCATGAATGACAATAATTGACAAGACAAACACTAGCCACGTTCATACCATGAGCAACACAACACTGATATTTGCTCTTAAGCTACTATTTTATGACATGTAATTCAAACACACTTTTTGACTGCAATGGATATTGCTTATTTATCAGTGACAAGTTGATTCATTAGCATTTTTTGTGGTGAAGGAAGAGCATCTTGAGAAAATGTCAGTAGTTTTGTTGAGGGATACAGATTTGGATGGTCCAGGTCCAGGTCCAGCATTGGTATGCATAAATATAACCCTCTACATGAGAACCAGCCAATATAAATGTACAAACTAGAATGGACCATTATCATAAATAATTTCCCATTTTAGAACCAAACAAGAGGTTTGTCTCCATGGGAAAAAAATAAGTGCATATTTGATGAGGCTATTCTTAGGGACAGTGTTTCCTGTATTAGTCTCAAAACAACTGTATCAACCAAAAGCACACACTTCCCCTTTCCAAAAACAATGTCTAACACACAGTGAAAAGTAGGAATGGAGAAAGTGGAGAAAAAACATGAGACAGAGAGAAAGGAAATGCTTAAGATGTTTGTTTTAGGTGTATGAGTATGATTTATCATTCAACATATCTTTGTTTTAGGTGACTCATAAAACTAATGTTTATAATATGACTAGTATGCATAGGCATGTATCTGATATGTGTATTTAATATTTAATTAGCTCATTATAACACCGAATCCCATCAAGAATTGTTTAAGATCTCTCTAGGAACCTTTTTTTATACACTACACAGTCTCACTGCATCCAACTTTCTTCTCTCCAATCAAGTATTCACCTCTTCTCTCTCACACACACTCACACTCACACTCACTGTCCCATAGCTAGTTCTAGATATTACTGTTGCTTGGTTTTTGATGGATGAAAAGTGGAAGCTGTCAAAGAAAGAAGCAGGTTGCAGCAGCCAGAATAGCACATCATCCACCAAGTCATTGTTCTCAAGGAGTTGCTCAACAAGAGGCTCTTCTTCAAACTCTCCCCTCTTGAGGAGCTTATCCCAAAAGAGTTCCTCCACTTCTAAAACCAGCATCCCTAGGAGCTTCTCTCAGAAGAACCCCTCCATTGGTAAAAAATGCACCAGCTTAGCTAAGGAGCACAAAGCCAGATTTTACATCATGAGGAGGTGTGTAGCCATGTTAGTTTGCTGGCACAAGCATGGGGATTCATGAAGGAATCACAGATCCCTTTTCAGATTCTTATGTTATGGTTACACTACCAAAATGCTGAAGGGATCTGGTTTTTCTTCTTCTTCGAATATATTCGTTTTGTAATTACCAATTCCACAAGTTGAGTTATAAGATTGATTTACTTGCTGCTTAAAGCTTCTGTGTCTCTCTCTCTCTCTATATATATACAATTAGTCGACCTTCAGGGATTCAATTTCTGATCATTAACAAATACAAAACTCATTTCGACATCTTAATATCTATCTCTAGAACCATTACATGAGATAAACTTTTATGGAGAAAAGTATAAAGGCAAAGCTTAAATAATATCACAGAAAGTGTTGATAATGTTCTTTCATTGGAATTGAAGTTTTATTTCCCTACTCTGCATAATAATTAGCTTTGTAAAATACTTTAGTGTATTATCAAATGGAAACTTTATTCTCTCAGAATCAGTGTACTTATATAATTATATAACTGTCTAATTTTTTTTCCGAAAATATAAATCTACACCCTCCTGTTCAGAGCTCATATAATCTTGATTAAACCCTTTTTTTAGATTATTGTTAAACAATGATAACTAAACTAAAATCATGCTTAACTTTTGGTTCAGGATCCTCAAAAGGTTCTCACGTGTTAAATCCCACTTCTGACTCCTATCACCTCTCTTTATATTCTCTTTTACTGAATATATTTGTGTTTAGAAGGAAAGTTTTTGTATACTTCATGGTAAAGCATAGGGATATTTAATTCAACTGCTTCAGCTCATTATTACTATTTAATAGCACTTGGATCTGCATTGAAAATGCAAGCCACATTCTTACTTCGTTTTTCCCATAAAAAACAAAAGTAACGGCTGACTCTTTAGTTCAAAATGTAAGAACCTGATTTTTGAAGGGTTCTTCCCTTTTTTCTCCCTTTCCAAAAGGGGAAATCTGCAATCTGAAGTTAGATAGTTTTGGTGCAATTCATCATTTTCTTTTTCCTCACCCCATCTTAGCGAATCTAATCCCAATTAGTAAATTAACCGTTAATTAGGCTTTACATTGCAACATTTCACCCAAATGTAGTAACTTTAAGGAGGAATTAACCAATCACTGCAGTTAATGTGAAATGTAAGTGTTACGAATTCAAATCTTTCTCGTTTGAACGAGAAAATTTCACACATGAAAACAAAAACAACACTGTTGTTGCTTTTAAATAAAAGGATAGTTACAATAACAATTTTTTTTCTAAACATGCACAGAATCATTTGTCCCCAAACATGAACACTGCATCTTGAATTAGCTGGAGGCCACTAACCTTTGGAGATATACTATCAAGACAAATAAGCATAAATTATTAGGGATTAACCTTGAGAAAGAAATTTCTGTTTATGGTCAACATATCTCTATTATTGTCATGTGTGACAACATTAATTAATGGAGGAGCTCCTTCTTAATTTGGAATTGCGTAACAAAAAAGAATGTCCTAAATAAAGTTAAGGTTTCTAATTTCCTAAAGAAAGAAACAACTTTAAATTAAATGTGAGAGCTTCATTATTGTTAAAGCAATGATATAAGATTAGACTTGTTTGGTAATAAAAATGAGAAGTAAAATAGATAATTTGAATGGAGGTAAGTTTTTATTAGATTTTGAAAGGTAAATACATTCAAATTCTGGATGCTATAACTTCATACACCCTTATTTTATCTGCACAAGAAAATTAGGTGGAGTGGAAGTATAGAAAAGTGATCCAGAAGGTGTCTGGATGATAGAAAGAAAGAAAAACTGAAATGGCTATTAGGATGGTGACTCTTCACTCTTTCATAACTCTTTCATAGTTGGCAAACCAAAAATCCGGAAATTAATTAACTTAGAACTGGAAAATCAAACAGGAAGGAAAAATTTGGCAGAAAGCATCATGATCAACACTTGGGTAGATCAGCTGGTGGAGGAGGCAACTTCTGATTAGGGAGCTTCCCATCCTCAACAATCCAGGCCATCCTCAACCCCCAACTAAAGTGCACATCAAAGTGACAGTGCATCAGCCACACCCCTGTTTCATCATACACATTAAATTAAATCATATCATCCAAAAGGATAAAGATAAATTAAACACTGTCTTAATTTCATTTAGTATGACTTTTTAATCAGAACTGAACTCTTAACTAGATAATTCACTCGTATTGTTAAAACTGTGACTTCATTCTTATTTGGTATCGTGTTTTCAAATCTTTATATAGATAGTAAAAACAGTAAACCAATATTTTTGTCGATTCAAAGTTTTATGTAGAAATGTATAAAAATAGAAAGCAGACACAGTGGCAGTTTTATCATTATAAATGAAAGTGAAATGTGAAACCAGAAGAAACAAGGCCTAGAGTTTTGTCAATGGTGCAGGCTTAAAGCAGAATGTAGGAGATTTGAAAGTTAAAACTTAAAGAAAGAATCAAACTAATTTATGTTATGGTCTATGAAGTGATGAAAAGAAATAAAGGATTGAAACAAGCGTGGGGTAGCTAGGAATGATATATCATAGTAATTCAGTGTCACCTGGGTTATCAGCAAGGAACCGGATTGCAACCCAACCACCAGAGGGGACACCAACAGTGTTCCTTTCAACTGGGTCAACCAGATTGAATTTTGGAGGGTCGGTGTTGGGATTAAAGTTCCCAAAGCCTCGACCAACAACATAGAAATTAAAGCCATGAAGGTGCAAAGGGTGGCTCTCAGCTCCTAAAATGCTGGTATCCTGAAGCACCACTTGCACGCTTGTGTTAAAGGGTATGACCACAGTCTTGGTTCCATTGGTGACCCTTGTGTTGTTCGGTGGGGTCCCCGTGTAGTTGAATGGTCTCAATGGCACAGCAGGAAAATCAGTGGTGTAAATGCCGTTATTAGCCTGCCCAAAGAAATGTTGCTGAAGAAGTGCTATAGAAGGAAGAGTGAAAGATATGTTGTTCATCGAGGCTGCAAATTTTGAACTGTTGTTTGGTCCTTGGCATGTCTGGTTTTTGGGGCAGGGACTTGTTCCAAGTCCAACCGTGAAGAAAAAGCTCTTGTCAACATTTTGAGGTACCTGGGCAGGGTACTTGGCAGTGTTCAAACTGCGAAATTTGCTTGAGAAGTTGGCAACGAAGGAAGTGTCATTGATGGCTGGAAGGGAGGGTTTTAAAGTGGGAATGTTTTTGGGAGCAAGTGGTTTCTTGTACTCTAGAATGCCAGCAACTGTGGAATTATCGAAAGTGCCCGTGCCAGTGGAATATGGCCTTGCTAGCATGAAGAAAGTGGCATTTGGGTACTCAGGTTTTGTCTTTAACAGAACGTTTGATGTTTGTCCCGGTCCTAGGACTATGATCTCGGACTCAAAAGGTTTAACGTAAGTAGCATCAGCTTCAACAATGACCAGGGTGTGATTCGCAATGCTGAAAAAGAGCTCATCATTGAGTGCAGCATTGATCAAACGAAGAAGGTATGTCTTCCCTGGTTTCACCTTTAACCTGAACGTCTCAGTCTCTGTCTCTGTCCACCATGAACATCAGAAGACAAAACCTATGTTAATACACCAATTTAATGAATAACCATTTAGAAGAACTCCTATTATCACTGCTAGCCAGGTTATTTTGTACAAATAAAACTGAGACTTATTTTTGTGTAAAAGTAGATTTTTTTTTCAGTGGATCAAAGCTAGTTAGTGTAGTTTCAACAAGGTTTTACCGTCATTGGAGCAATTGTAGAGGGGTCCAGGAAATCCATTAAAGGTGTAGGCATCTGAAGCATTTGGGCCACCCCCTGTCTGAAGGGCTTGTGCAATAACAGCCTCTGGGTCAGCGTTCCACCACTCACCTATGAGGTTCAATCAATGAAGCAATACAGATGAGAAAGTTGTCTTTTTTTCATTCATTGTTCTTTCTTTTAAAATGATTTTGTTAAATTAAATAAGAAAAATGTGTATTATTCTATGTATATGGTGATGGTTTGAGGTCCATACCAAAGAGGATGGGAACTTCCTTGTGGGGTTTTTGAAAAGGGTAAGATTCGTTGAGCCTAGGGAGGAGGATAAGAGGTCCATAGAGAGTGGCTCTTAACCATGAAATGTGAGCATGCCAGAAAAGAGTTCCTCTTTGTCCAACTATGGTGAAGTTGTACACATAACTCTGACCAGTTTGAATGGGACATTGAGTTATGTAAGATGGACCATCTGCCCATCCACTTCGAAGCTGTCTAATTCCATGCCTGTTATTGTCAATACTCCATAAATATGTTAGTTGGTAGCCACACAACAATCCATTGCATGCATGGACATATACCAGCTAGAAGATGAACAAAATACGTAGCATACAAATTAATCCTGATAATTTTATCATAATATTGTTAGGTACACTTGTCTTGTGGGCAAAGAATAACTAATGCAAAATCAGTAGTTCTAGAGAGTTGAGATCATAGATATATATAGATATATACCAGTGTATGGTGACATTGTTGGGAACATGATTGACCACCTTAACCACAATTGTGTCACCTTCTCTTGCAGCAATTCTAGAACCAGGGAACTTCCCGTTCACTGTAACAATGCTCTTTGTGTGGCACAGCCTCGTAACATTTTTCAACCTTATCTGGAAACATAATCAAATAAATATTCATATCACCTTTTTTCTGCCGAAAGGCACAACTAATGTTTAGCTGCATTGAGTGGTAAAGATTAACTCTTTTCACTTCAGAACTCTCACTAGATAAATAGATACATGTTTACATGGTATAAGTTTATAATGTGTGTGTGTGTGTTGCTCACATCAAACTTGTAGTGCCTTGTAACGCTTCCATGCTTTGAACTAGTGGCGAGAATAAATTCGGGAAAGGAAGAGAGGAAGGTTGTGACAAAGAGGAATGCCACAAAAAGTTTTGGTGATGAAGGAACAGTTGAGACCATTTTGTTTGCGGTTGCACCAATACTGTGTTTTAGGCCTCAGTGAGTGAGTTTGGAAATATTAGTTACAATTAGCTGCATGCTAAACAATGTTGTATATATAGAGACAGAGATAGAAACCACAAATAAATGTTTGGTCGAACAGGTTTATCTGATCAATGAGTCCATGTTTCAAAACGAAGCATGCCTGAAGAAGATTGATTCTCACCTACTCTGTATGGTCCCATCTTTCTTATACTTTGGAGTGTCACTAACGTTAATTTTATTTGACATTTTGTCTCATCTTATGTACCCTATTTCGTACTCTCTAATTACAGTTTCTTTCCATGTGCACCCAACATCTCCTGTTTATACTTTATCAACAAAAGTGCTCTCC